CAGGAATGAATGTGCATACAATGCTTTCTGGAGTGGGAATTAGGTTTGTCGGTACTGAATGCAGAACATAAGAGAAGCTGGGACATCAAAACCAGTAGTTTCGGCCAAGATGGAGGAAAAGGGATCAGATTTACCCTCCTAACTAAACAACAAAAAATTAAAACAAAAACAAAAAGACAACAAACTAACAAAAGAAAATAAGCGAAATGAAATGAAAAGAAGAGAGAGAAACAACCCAGACAATAGTTAAACACTTAAGACACTGGACACTGCAATGAAAAACTGTGATCCCTGAGAGATGGGAAACTAACAAGGCGAGCCCTATGACTGCCCCAGCTTATATCCTTGGGAGTTTCCAGAGAGAAGAAAGTGGGACGGAGCTCAAGTCCACAGGACAAGTACCAGGGAGTAGAGAGCTGTAGAGGAAGACCCCCAGAGGTATACAGAGGGTCCCCCTTGGGTATTCGGTACAGTAAGTATTAATCAATGCATGTGTTTGAGGAAGCTTCTCAAGGCCTGGAAGAGCATCCAAAAGGTTTAGAAGAAACAGTGCTCAGAGCTTACACAGGGCTGGGATCAGTGTCTGTTCCCATCAGCCAGACTGAAGAAAGTAATGGTTCATGAGGCACTGGGTAGGAAACCCAGGAAGATCTTGCCTCATCAGTGAGGAATAATCAGCCCTAAACTGAGCACTGCTCGGGACCCCCCTAACAAATCGTAAAAGACCCCAGGGACTTCCCTGACAGGCCAGTGATTAAGACTCCGTGCTTCCACTGAAGGGGGCATGAGTTTGATCCCTGATGGGGAACTAAGATCCCGCATGCCACATGGTGTGGCCAAAAAATGAAGGAAGAAAGGAAGAATTAAAAAAAAAAAAAAAAAAAGCAAGACCCCAAAGGATCAAACTATTTCCAAGTAACTTAAGCGCTTCCCAGTACAAAGCTCAAGAATATTTTTAGGAATAAAAATATCCAGCACCCCAAAACATAAAATTCACAATGTCTAGCATCCAAAGATTACCAAGCATGCAAAGAGGCAGGAAAACACAACCCACAATGCAACTAATCAATCAATTGAAAACAACTCAGAACTGATACTGAGGTTAGAATTAGCAGAGAAGGACAATAAGATTTAAGTCAAACTTCCAGGGATGAAAACTACAATGCCTGAGATGAAAAATACAGTGGGCTTTTAGAACAACTGGATATCCGTAGGCAAAAAGTAAAATCCTGGATCTATACTTCACATCATAATCAAATATC